TATTGCATTTTGCATTAAAAAATAAAGTCTGATATGTTGATTTATTGATGCTCTGCCATGTTATCATCTTGCATTTTCATATTACATAATGGCCCATTTAAAAAATATATAAAAAGCAACAAAACAAACAACAAAAATTAGACTTTGTTCAAATCCTAATGTGCTGTTACCTTTTTCTATAAACTTATTTTTAAAAAATGAAAATTATTAGAGGCTTCATAAACTCGTTAGGCCCTAATTAATTGACTCGTTAGAACTCGTAAAGCAGGTCAATAATCGTCATCAGAACTCATGATAACACACAACAACCACAGGCTTCTGTAAACAGCAGAGGAACTGTACGGATCTGGAAATAAAGCCAAAGAGAAGCTATAAAAAGATACCAGCAGGCTTCAACTTTCTGCTGTTTGAAATGTCACTAAGAAAAAGGCAGTTAAAGAGAACTGATGTCTTTCTGAGCAGCACAAAGAACAACATCTGCTCTGAGGCTCAACAGGTGACGTCCATCTCCAGTTACACACAACAGACGGTCAGCAGACACACACACACACACACATATAATAGCAACACATGTGAGCACAAACACACACTTTTTTGTATCCTGAGTCCGACGCCTTCTTCACACCGAGGAGCTGCAGTTCACAGTCTGGCTCAAGGGCATCACCACAAACAATGCTGTTTCAGAGATTCAGACCTGCGACTTTTTTACTCTACAGGACTGAAACTGTGACTCTACGGCAGTTTGAGTTTTATTTTTTAACTCTGAGCTGAACAAATCAACACATATATGAACAAAATGAGGGTGCAAAATGAATAAAGGGGAAGAAAAATGAGCAGAGGAGAGAGAAAATAAGAAAAGCTGCTAAAATGTAGAAGCGAAAGAAACGCAGGAGCATGACGAGTAAGAAGAAAACGTGAAAAGACAACTGCAATGAAGAAGAGAGACAGAAAACTAAGAAACGAGAAGAAAAACTGAAGGCAGATGAGATGAAAATGAAAAAGGAGGAGGAGAATATACCTACAAAGAAAAGACAAAGATAGCAAGATGTGAAACTATTTTGGCAAAGGTTCTCTGGAGCACCCGTCACGGTGCTTAAAGGAACCAATTTTTGAATTGTTTTTGAGGCACCTTCGAGGGTCTTTAAGGAACTGTTTGAAGAAATGGTTTGGTAGAAGGTCTTACTAAAAGGTTCTTTGGAGATTTAAAAAATGGTTCTGTTATGGCATCACTGTGAAAACCTATTTGTGGTTCTCGCATTGATTTTTTAGAAGGCAGGTAGGTCCACAAATAATGGTCCAGAAAGTGGTTTCTTAAAGAACCTATTTTGGGGAAAGTTCTCTGGATCAAGAGATATGATGGCTGAAGGAACCACTTATTGATGGTTCTTTGTTTTGTTCTTTTCTTGATGGTTCTTTGTAGCACCTTAAAGAACTGCTGTCTGTTGGGAAGCTCTTGCTGGAAGGTTCTTTTTCTAAACTAAAATGGTTTCTCCATGGCAACCACTTGTGGTTCTAGTTTGTACCTTTATTTTTCTGAGCACAGATTAAAATGTGTCTGTGGCAGACACTTGAGAGAGATTTGAAAACTGATTCCTACCACAAACTGAATCAAACTGTTGTAAAAACACTCGGCTAAAGAATCTGAATGGAACCTCATGATGGTGCTGGATATAAACTAAGACACTGGCAGTCTCCTCTGGCTGAGACTTTACACCATAAACTGTGCAGCGGAGGGTCATTAGCTTCAGTGTCTGCAGGTCGAACAGAGTCTGTGAGCGAGCAGCAGCCAGGAGATAAGAATGTCTTAATCTGCCGGTAAATCTTGAGGACAATACGTCGGCTCAACATGACCCTAAATCCCTCAGCGCTCACATTTACAGGCCGTCCTCTGGTAGTGACCCTCTGCTGCTCGCCGCAGACACAGGAGCTCTTTGTTGAAGCTGTCAGCAGAGGAGGGCCGAGGAGACGAAACCCACCCAAACAGCTCCCAGGTTATTGTTGGCTGGACCAATTTAAGCAGGAGGCAGTTAAACTAAAGAGGGAAGTTCTGACTTGTGGAGGAAGCTTGTGAGGATATTTAACAGGCTGGATTCTAAATTCCTAAAACAAGTAACTGATTATAGATAGATATAGACAGACCCACAAGGATGCCCCGCTGTTTCTTTCCTTTTATCACCAGTGATGATCTTCCACAGGAAGGTGGGATCATCCAGCAAAGTGGCATTTGCTCTCTGAAAGTTAGAGCTCCTTGTAGGAATCACCAGTGCTGCCATATTAGTGGTCACAAACACATGATGCTAATAGCTTGATATCACATGTCTGTGAAGATTCTCAGTCATCCAGGTCGTGGTTGTTCTTGTAGAATAATCGTAGGGACTGGACTTGAGTTCCTTGAAGACGTCTCATCCAAGAGGCTTCAGTTCTGACTGACTAGTTGGGAGTTCCAGATACTTACATCCTTGAGGAGCCATTAACACCTGAGTTTCATATGTACACACTTTGGGAAGAACGGCCTTCGACTGGCGCGGGAGTACGAAAGAACTTCCAGAAAACCCCCAATTGAAACCAAAACTCAGGTGTTAATGGCTCCTCAAGGATAGAAGTATGTGGAACTCCCAACTAGTCAGTCAGACCTGATGAAGCCTCTTGGATGAGAGGTGGAACGTCTTCAAGGAACTCAAGCAACTCCAGTTGCTACGATTGACATCATATGTTCTTCTGACTTGTGACAGTCCATGCATGTACCTGTTGCACGCTCCATGCTTTTTAATCAACCCTAATATAATTACACTTTGTTCCATCGTCACTACTTTTTTGTTGTTGTTTTCAGTCATTGTTTGCTGTTATTTACATTATAAAGACAGTCAGTTAGGTTTGGGCGGATGTCTGGGTGAAGGAGATCATGTTTTGGGTGAAAACACACCTGTAAAAAGCTCTGCTCATTGTCTACACTGAAAGTAGGACAAGTTCCACCAACAGAATACACCCCAAAACACAGGCAAAAGACTTCATTTTGTGGCATGTAGCTATCATATTTTCTGTTTCTGTGAGACTGGTCTAAAACAAAGTTGAAGTTGATGAATCATCTGTTGGTTTTCTCTCTGGTTCAAGTCTGTTTATGAGAAAAAAAAACAGTTCACATGAAGCTGAGTCGCTCACAGGCCTTTTATCTCAGTATCCGCCGGGTCAGATCGCTTGTAAACCAGCTGAGAACAGAAGTGTTTTGGTTTTCATGGCGTTTGTGACTACAAAACAAGTCTTGTATGAATTTATGATCTGTGCGTGTTGACACCACATGATGCCGGTAGCTCCGACCGTCTTCCACGTGATCGCTTTGGTGTTTGGAGTCACAGCAAAGCATGAAAAGCACCAGATTCCCTCCTGTGTGAAGACAAACGCCTCCCAGCGCCCTTACAGCTCCTCACAGTTAGTCTGTGGAATCTAACACCTCACAGAGAGAAAACGTTTCGCATCAACCTCAAAATCTCCTCGATGGACGTTAATTCTTAATAATCAACCCAAAACGTACATGACACCCAGCGTGACCCCTGTTCCGTATGTCCTTCAACCTCCTCCACATCCGCTGTTTTGACAACACATGGATCAAAGACGTAACACACAGCCATATGGGGGTTTAGGGGGATTTGCTGCATCTCAAGCTGATCCCAAATTATGAGCAGATCTCTTTAAGCCTTTGCTCTCTTGTCGGTGTCAGGAAAAGGTGTGGGAAAGATGAAAACAGTCGGCTTCACCCGGTGTTTTGTTCCAGCAGGATCGTGAGGTCAGCTGAGTCGAGACTGCATGCCTAACCTTCAAATATGCCTCAGAAACTAAAACCGAAAATTCATTTGTGGACTGAAATTGCTTTTAAAAATGAATATTTCTTATTATTTCATCACATCAATAGCACTGTATATCACAAGTAATCGCATGGTTTGGAAAAAAAATGTGAATCTTTGTCATACTTTATCATGTCACAGGGAGCTTTTCTGCTTTAGTGAGTTACTATCTGCAAGTTTTGTGCACTCCTGCTGCCTCACCTCATCCATGTTATATCTCCTACTTACTCACCTCACTGGTGTTTAAGCATGAGTGAACATAACACAGGATACATGGAGATTTTAAAACTTCCCACTGGCTCAGTGGATGGAAAGCTGCAAAGACGACTTCAATTACAACTCTATTAATGATTAACTAAAAATGCGTGGATGATGGAAAATGACCTTACAGTCTCTTCTCATAACGAGCATTTGTTTTTAATCTTATTTCAATTCATCTGAAGTACTTTGGATATCACAAGTAATCGCATGGTTTGCAAAAACTGAATCTTTGTCGTTCTCTTTTTTGTCACTGGTTGTTTTTACGAGCACGCTTTGTGCATTCCTGCTTCTTCGCCTTATGCACCTTACATCTAGAAATAAAGATGTCACTGTTCTTTAAACATGGGCGAACATAGCACAGGGTATCTGGAGATTGGACTCTGTAGATGGAAAGCATGTAGAAATCAAAACACCTTCAAAGTCCTGCAGCGACTGCTTTAAATACAACTTTGTTAATGATTGATTAAAAAGGTTTTTGAGTTCCTGTTTGCTAGTTTTGTGCACTCTTGCTCAGTCACCTCATGCACGTGACATCTTTTACTTCTAATTTTCAAGAGGTCACCTCACTGTTGTTTAAAGATCAGGCTCAATAAAGGAAATTCCTGCCCTCAGTTCTGCTTAAACAGGCAGAAGTACTCAGGGTTTGCCTGGAGAGGCACTTGTTGCAAAATAGAGCCTTGCATCTATTTATATTACACCATTTCAATAAAACAGATGTTTTTTGGAGGAGAAACAGTTGAGGAACCAAAAGCAAACCAGACTTACAGGTAAAATTCTTGATTTTAGACTAACTTTCCTTCTGAAAAAAAAAGGTGGTGTGATGCAAGAGAGAAGGTTTTTCACAGCCATTACATCTGTTAGGGACAGAAGAGATTTAAGTTGCAGTGTTTTTTTTGTTACCTGGCCGTAGTCTGTAGCAAAGACAACAACACCTCCGGAGCAGGAGGACACGGTGCTGGGAAGGTACTGCTCATCCTCCCGTAACCAAACCCGCTCACCCTGCAGAGAAACAACAACACTGGTTGAGGGAAACTGCTGCTGCTGAGGACAGTTTCAGTTCACAAAGACAACAAGAAAAAGCATTTAAAACCAGGAGAAAATGATCTTCAAACAAGCAAGCATTGATCCCTGCTGGTTGTGTCACTGCAGAATGAATACCACACTGTTTTAGGGATTTTTATTTTTTCTTTATGTGTTTTTGTATTTGTTATCTGAAGAACTTTACAACTGTGTGTTGAAATAAAACCTTACTTACACGTTTCACAGCTTTCTAACATCAATAAACATCGTCTAGTTTTAACATATTTTTTTACTGACGTAAAACAGCTGCTTTGGAGCTTATGTCGTGCTATATTTAGTGCTAATGACACCGGGTCTGATGTTGCCATGGCATCACCGAGGCACCGACCTTTCTTTGAGCATCTGATGAAAACACGGAAAATCTGCTTTTCTACCAGCAGTCGGAGTAAAGCTGGATGTTTATGGATGCTTTCTGTTGACCAACAGCAGAGCAGCACCTGAAGACACTTTCATACCTGTTAATTTTACTGCAGACCAGCTGGATGTTTAATCACTCTGCTGTGTTTGTGGAGAATTAGCAGCAAATTTGAGGAATCCAGGAGGAAAGTCTGAGTCTTAACTGGATGTTTGGAGGATTGCATGTTGGTTTTTCATCTTTTCTTTTTGTTGCTTTGGGTGCATCAACAGATTATTAGAAAAGCTTTTGTTCTGAGAGATTTGTTTGATAGAAACAGCAATTACTAGGAAGACTGGGATTAGCAGTAGCGCTGAAACTGAAGTGGCCTCGCTGAAATATAACTGAGCTGAAGAAGTGGGGCCCCTTCAAGTGGATTCCCTCTTAATCGCATAGCCACATGTGCCGCTGTTCATTAGCGTGACAGGCTAATGCTAATGGGAAAAACAAGCCTCTGTGAGACGCCCCTCCTGTATGATCGGCCTTTGACCCGCGAGCCCTCGTTGGGACGAATCAGGGCACCTGGCTGGGAAAAAAAGCCGGCAGATGAATGGAGTAAAAACACACACGGAGTAAAGCTCAGGTTTGCAGCGTCAGCAGCGGATCAGCGTGTTGTTGTAAACCCTTTTTGTAGAGCGGACAGCACCATTCAAAAGGCCTCCTGGGGAGAAATAAATGTGACGCTCAGAGGAAACTCATAAAGGAACGCTTCTTTTCATCTGACTTTGTAGCGTGAAGTCTGACAGAGAAATTACTTGTCATTCTTTTACTTTGTTTGGCAAAACTGTAAAGGAGAACTGGACCTTGTACAACAAAAAAAATGATCTGTGGTAGGAATAAAGCCAAACAGTATTGTGATTGTGTGGTATTGCTTAACCCTGTGAACCCTGAAGTCTGGCAAGTTTGAAAGGCATCTTATCTTATCAAGAATCTCCAAAATCACACCATTTATAAACCAGAAACTGTAAAAACTCAAAAGATGACCAGATTTTAAACTTCCCGATGGTCCTTGAACACCTCATTTTGTTGGAAAACTTTAACAAATCTGAGCTTCAAATGGGGATATTTCATCAAAATTGGTTTCGGTTAAAATTTTACGAAAATGTGCTTTCTAATGAAAAATAAATGAATACCTTAGGTGCTTCCGTGCAACTAAAAACCGTCTCAGCGGTGACCAACAACCATGTGACAAAGTTTTTGGCTGAACTGCAGACAGCATTTCCACAGAGCAGAAAGGAGACAAATAAAAAATGTAAATAGTAAATATCTATTGTATGTTGAGCCAATACTTTTTTTTTTTTGTAAAAGGTTGAATATATTCATTCCATTTGTTTTTAATTTTTGTAACTTTTATTCTGACTGTGTCATAGAAGACATTTCTGCAAAAATTTAAATAATAAAACAGCACAGCATGTAGCATGTGAGGCTACCATTTCTCCAGTGTTGTTACCACTCGGACAAACGTGTAAATTTGTTGTACATATTGATTCTAGATTATTTATTTTAGTTTTTTGTTTTTTGTTTTTTGTTTTTAATTTTAATATTCAAATGTATTTATTTGTTGATTTCTTTTTTTAATTTATATTTGCAAAATGAATAATTAAAGAAATTCAGCTTTCATTGTTTCCTTCTGTGCTGCATTTATAACACTATAATTTTGTCCTACTGACAGAAGACATGAGTTCTCTCTCTTCTTCATAGTTGTTCTGTTTCCATAGAGGTGCAGGACTTCAGACTGCAGAGTAAAAAGGAGCCACAGTGAGGAAAAATGTGACGAGAGCAAAAACAAAAACCTGCAGAAGTCGTTGATGCGCTGCAGTTTTAAGGTGAAAACACTCGCTCATGTTTTCTTGCATATAAAAGAAACCGTATGGACATGGCAATAAAACTTAATCTGTAAATAATTCTAATGTCATCTTTTGGTCCTACATCTGTCCCTTCTTTGCAGTTCTACCCTCACGCACATGTTACAGAAAGGATTTAAGTTTTCTCCAGGAATCTTGAGCCAACATGTATTGGATCAGTCGGTAATGTTTCTTTAGCTTAGTGCAGCCAAGATGGAGATCTGCACTCGAGTTCTGTTGGCTTTTCTTTTTCACTTTAAAAACAGAAGTGTGGTTTTCACCCATTGACAGAAATATGCAGCTTGGGTCCTCATCTCCTGCAGACGGGATGTTTGATGTTGAGGCTGGTGATGAATGAAGAGAGAGGAGGTGAAGCTCAGGGTTCTGGCTCAGAGCCCGAGTTTCCAAATGCTCTCTGTGGGTCAACGTAGGGAGGTGGTAGTAGATTAGGAGAGGAGGGGGAGGAAGCACAATAAGATGTCTGTCGGTGGCCTCCTTCTCTTCGCTCGGCACACGCTGACCGCCAACAATGTGTGTGTTTGTTGGGGGTCTCGGATGGTAAAAGTGTGCCGGTGGGAGGAGCGAGACCCCCGGCCGGCCTCCTCATTCCATCTCCAGCCTCCTCCGGTGCTGCACAGCAGGAATGTCGGTACGTTGCCGGCTGGTAAACAGCACACGCCTTCTCTTTGTGCACCTCACAATGGAGCATCTTCCTTTGTTTGGTTCCTTTTTCGGGGCTTCAAAGAGCCAGACGGACGTCAGCGTCGGTCAACATCAGTAGAGTCTTTGTCTTAGTTGCACCTCAAATGATCAGGGCTTCTGCTCCAACAGCTCTGATTTGTTTAAACTCTTTGATCATGAACTCTGGATATTTAAAATGGTACCTGTGAACTTTTAGGGTGAAGCATTTTACGACATATATGTGTCCTAAAAGCTGCCTGTTGACCCACTTTCAGTAGTTTATTTGTCACATTGAAATTTGAGGCTGTTTGAACAACAATATCTCAGCAACTGTTGAAGCTAAAAACCTGAAATGTTCACTGTTATTTCTCATCATGTTATCGATTGTGAATTTAAAACTAGATCTCTATTGTACGTGCATTAGGACATCTACCAACACAACTTGTCAAACCTGTGCAATCAGGAGTGAAAGTTCAATAAAAGTGACTTTTTAAAATATTTTGTGACCAAGTATTTCATAATAAAAGTATTCTATAAGTTTAGTTTTCTATTATTGTGACCAGCAGCTACATGCAGTTATGAAAATATCACTAGTTGATTTCTGCTTTATCGGATTTAGGTGTTTTTTTTTGTTAAAATGAGCTCAAAGATGAAAACAAATAATAGTGAAAACTTCAGGTTTTTATCTTCAAAAGTTCCTGAGATGTTGTTCAAACAGCCTCAAATTTAAATGTGCGAAAAGACCTGAATATCAAAACATCTGACAAGCTGTGGCTTCCTGAACACAAAATCAAACTGGAGAAATGAATTTAAGTAAATACATTGACGGGAAAATTGTCGGCAAAAAAACCCCCAAAAATAAACATTGAATCTGGAGACGGATTTCTAACTCAAACACGGCACCAAAATTAAACCTCTAGACAGTCCTGCTGCAAAATGAGTTTCTTTAATCCAATCAAAGCGCCATAAAAACATGCAAACAATCAAATAATAATCAAACTATGCTTTATGAAAGGAGTTCTGTTAAAGGAGTGAATGATAATCCAGGAATTCAGCTTCTAACAGCCTCAACAGTCACCAAACTGACTCGACGCAGCAACTGTTAAATAAAGTCAGAAAAACGTTTCAAAAACTGCACATCTGCTGTTATGATGATGTTGTGTCGTCGACATGAAAGGAAGCAGAGTTAAAGTCAACATGCGAGCAGGGAGACGCTGAGGAGTCTGGATGGAAGCTGAGGATCAAGGTCCAGCTGTTGCACCAGAGAAACCTCTGAGCTCCTCATTCCAGTTAAACCTGAGTAAACTTCTCAGCCAGCAAAACCAGAACAGGACGGATTATTAAAGTGGGAAACGAGCTGTTGGGGAATTAAAACATAGAATCATCTTACACCAAAAACAGACAAAGTCCTGCAGAGCTTTACCTTCATACTATGAATATTTCTAGGGTTACAGGCCCTTGAGGTCGTGAAACTTTGTGTTTTTTTCCATCATTTCTGAGCCTCAGAACTTCATCAGTACAGCAGATAGACACATGACATTTTAGGATGAAAAACACATTTGACTTCTAATACAACCAGCAACCAGATCAGTTGTACATCCTTTCAGGTGTCACAATCTAAAGAGAAAGAACTGGACAAATATCAAGTATTTTTGGAAAAATCTGAATAATTCTTGGGAACTTTAATAATTTTTTTGAACATTTCTTTTGTATCATGTTCAACATTTGTATTTTTTGGTGCAAAGTGTGGGTCATGTTGGACAATTCATGCATCATTTTGGGAAGGTTTAGACATTTGATGAGAAATTTTGGACAACTTTCATGTCATTCTGACAAAGTTTTGATGGGCAAAAACACATTTGAGGTCTGACAAAAACTGCAATCAAATCAGTTTTACATCCATCCAGGAGTCTGAACACTGAACACTGAATCTGGTTTTAGTTCTGTTTTTTTTTCTCTAACCAACATGTTTTTTAGAATAATTTAATCTTATTGATCAA